ATTACAGCTTCTTGATGGCTATGGGATGCTTAAATACAACAGAACATAAAAACCTCCATTCGTCAAAAAAGGTAACTGGCTTTTAGTATTGTATAATTATCAAAGATTGCATTTATAACATATGGCCATAAAAAGTTTCATATTAGTTAATTAAAAAATATACAAAATTTAAAATTTTTTAAGACATACAATTTATATACTTAAGTTAGGTCTTTTAAATTTTGTAAATAAAATTTTACTCTGTCCAACAATAATAATATGGACCATATAATATTATGAATATAAAATAAGAAAATAATAAATTTCATAATTATATCTGTTTAGGAAAGGCTTTTAACCCATTTCAACTATAAAAATTTTAAATATCTCTATTAATTACATTACAAAATCATAAGAAATTTCAAAATATTACAATTTAATTAATTTTTTATTTGAAACATCATTTGAAATAATATTACTAAAATTATGCTTTCTTTTATCATCGACATTTGTAATTTACTTACTTTGTGAAACCTGAAGACTCCAAAGCTTTCTCTTAACACAAACATTTCCATCTTATGGGTAAATCCACATTAATGAATTAGTGTATACTCACCAATGATTAAGGTTGCACAGGCAGTTACTTATAAACTTACTCTGTTCCATGTTCAAAGGCAACTGGCCAATTTGAATGGTGCTATAACATTCTGTTTGTATTAAAAAATTAAACTTCCACTTTATTATAAAAATAATAATTCCATAAGAAAAAATTATTAGGCAGGAGCTTCAGTTTATATTCATTTCAATCGTACAATAATCAGATAACTCTTAGAATTCAAATTTTTAAACAATAATGTCATTGTTAAAATAATTCAAAATATTTATGCAAAGTTGTTTAAACAGTAATAAAAAATAGATCAATCAAGTACCCTCCTTAAATAAAATCTTAAACTACTTTAATTTGTTAAACAAAATTTGCAAAATTCAGATTTCTAATACTATATAATTTTTAATCTTTTAGTAATGCTATGCAGTTAATCCAACAGAAGAAACAGCATTATGTATTCAAATCTCAAAATAATAATAATTATTATTAGCAGTTTGCTATTTCATAAAACATTTTAACTACATTAATGAATGACCAAATTATCTATTTTATGACCAAGAAAAATATTTAGTGTAAACTATGATAACAATAATAAAAAGCATTAAAAATGCATTATGAAATAGCATTAAAAATGCATTATGAAATAAAAATACATGCATTCAAAACCATTTAAAAAATATTGACTTTTTGTGCTTTCATATGTTGAACAATAATTTTATATTTTTTCAAAGTAGCGCGTCAAATTGCAGAAATTTTAAGCAAAATTTAGATATGAAATACAGAGTCTGAAGCATTTAATAATTTTGTTTCATTGGAACATGAACCTTAAGTTCACATAAAGATAATAACTTTGTATTTTCAAATGACGAAATGTTATTAGGAAAAGCAGAACTGCAAAAAGTAATTTTCTGTTGCACAGAATTGAAGCACGTTAAACTCAGATTGACGTCCTTGAACCCTCTGTAATATGCAACCTTTTAAATGCTAAATAACTAATGATTCAAAACACACTTTTTTTTCCGTATAAGTATTGTAGATGTGGTCGGAATAAATTCTACACTTCGTTTTCACTAGACGTTAGAACTTTTGGACTTGCAGATAAGCAAGAAGATTTATTTACCTTTGGAGATAGTTTATTGAAATCCAATTAGGGAATAAATTTTCCATTGAGGTTTGTAGCATGAAAACAAGCTTTATTTAATTAACACACTTTATAATTCTATAGATGAATTTTCCACTTGTAATTACAACATCCTGTTAATACTATTTGTGATGAAAAAAACAAAGTAATGTTGATGGCATAGAACCTAGAATGTTGAATCCATAATGAACAGCAAACTTAGCAGCCAAGGAAAATTAAATATACATTTTTATTTCAGTTGACATTTGTGGCCACAATTCACTTGGCACTCTAATCATACCTATTTCTGAAATATTTACATTTTTGAAAATATTGTGATAGGAAGAAAGCAGGATGGTAGCATCCTAGCGGCAACAGAGGTAGAAGCAAAAGTGTGCAGTTAAATCTAGTATAGAGGCTCACCAAGAAAATTTTTTGTTTAAATTGCATCTTAAGAGAAAGGTTTCAATTATTGAAATTTTGAGTTCAAGTTCCGAATGATATACATCACCTGCATTACACATGCCATGTGACATAGATTGATCTAGAAATGAGACAGTCTATAAAGGTAATTACTATTTTTAGAATACAGACTGCAAATAAATAAAATAAAGTTAAAAAATGTGGAATTAAGAGGCTATTGCTAAATTAAATTATAAAGCTGATGTACATATTTTTTTATCTTGCGTCTCTCTCTATATGTACACTAAATACATATATATGTATATTATACAGGGTAATCCTAAACTGTTTTTACAAATTAAGAGGAGTGATAGTACCCATCCAGATGAGCAATAATTACCATAGAACATAGGGTCACATTCCACTCTGAGGGGTAGAAAAGATGAAAGTAGAAACGCATCGAGGAAGAACAAGGACACCCTCCAAAGACTATTAAGAATTAACAGTATGCAAATTTGTACTGAGAAGCAGCATTTTGCTCTTAGTTGTTACCGGAGAAAGCCAATTGGAAGAAACAGTGTCCTTGAAAACGGCACATCATCATCACTTCAAGTATAACCTCGACAATATCGTCGGAAACTTTTTGTGAATGCTCTGGCACAGTACACGTACGAGAAATTGGCAGATATTTACTTCACATACAATGAAGCAAAAGGGAATGGATGCAAAGCTCGAAGATACAAACAGTGGTTTCCAACTAGTTGGATTCCAAGTCATCCAACATTTTCCATTGTTGCTCGAAGGCTGACAGAAACAGGTTTTTTTTTTGCCATCTCAAAAAGCAATGTAGGACATTTACAAAATACATAAATGGCGGAAATGGAAGAGCGAGTTTTGTCTAGCTTTGAAGCAGCGAGTGGTGGCATCCGAAATGGGTATTTCTTAGCCAGTTGGTGTGGCATATTTTACATGAATGCATGCACCCCTACCATGTGCAAAAAGTCAATCTTTGAACACAGATGATTATCCCTGCCGGGCAGACTTTGTGTAGTGGAGGCTTGGAATGAGGATTAAAGATCCACGATTTCCTACATTAATATTATTTAGTGAAGAGACAACATTCAGCAGAGAAGGCATTTTCAATGTGCACAATCAATATGTTTGGTCTGATAGCAGTCTCCACTTTACTACCTCTCATAAACACTTCATTTTAGCATTTTAAATGCCAGTTTATGTGCAGTGCACTGAAGTCCTTCATATATATTCTACAAACATACTTTAAAATTCTTTAAATATTCCAATGACAAGAGGCACATATAATAAAAACATATCAAGAGCTGCAAATGTCGCAAAAGAAAGGGAATAATATATTTAAGTAAAATTTGGTTTAAAAAATTTTGGGAATGAAATAAGCAGATTGAAAACAGCAAGGTATATAATGGAACATAATTAACTTAATTTCAGAAATTTTGAGATTGAATACAACAAAGTATATAATAAAGCTAATGGGCTGAACCCTGGAATAAATTGTTATTGTCTTGAATCAGTTCATTCTCTAGGGAATAGCAGAATTCAACACTACTAATTCTGTTCCATTGTAGGAAATCCAATGTAACATTTCTGAAAATTCTGAAATTCTGAAAAGTTAATTAGTAAATCTTTAGATACTAGAAGACTAGACATCTCATAACTTCACTGCTGATTTTATTTGGATGTCAGTAATAAAACGTTGTAGAATGTACAACATGGATGTAAACAACAGAATTTTTAAATTGTAATCAATAAAATCAGCTTATATGTATACACACACATATGTAGGCTGTTATGGTTGGTACAGTAGTTGTGGTTAGCAAAGCTGCTGCTATATCATTGTGCTTGGGCTTACAAACAGCAGAAGTTAGTATCAGAATATTTTAAGAAATTGCTGTCTATATCTGCCTGATATCTAGTATTTGTTGGTAATATGGCAAATTCAGCATTCAGCTGACGTACTGTGTACATTGGGTTTTCTTCCACTTTCTCCTTTAATTGTATTGTTTCATGCAAAATTAGACAACCAGTTTCTGTCTTATGTTCTGTGTCAACATCACTACTATGAAATTTTAAAAGCAGTGTATGTATAGTTCTGTCATTCATCATGTTGCCAATCGATTCTTCATTGATCTTGATAACAGTTTCTGAAATAATACTAATTCATGTAAAATCAGTAATTTCACATGTCTGGCTGAAATCCTTTTTTTTAACATACGGTTGAACCCATTGATTTTAAAAGAACATTTTATAGTTCCTAATATGATGTATCAGGCTTAGCAAGTTAACCTGCTGGAATCTGCAATAACTGCAAGTAATAATAGTTTCTAAAATATTAACATAAATTTTCAATGAATAAAGGATTCTTATGACTGACTTTTGAAGCAGACATACTTCCTTCTACTTTTATTAAATGAAAGGAAGTAAGTGAAAGTTTTGCTTTATCTGCATTCTGGTGACACAAATGCATTCATTTGTGGGATATAATGATTTTATTGAACCATTTTTACTCTTTCATCTTATTTAGAGTATTGCCTGAAGAAGTATGCTTGTTTAGTATGTTGTCACATTGCTTCTCCAGAGAAAAGCTGTGTAGTGTTTTAGTAAGTAAATAGTTTTTACTTAGCAAGATTCTTCATTTGTTACACTGAAAGAGGAGTTTCAGGACATGTGGGAAATATTGTATCTATATCAATGGTGATTCTCTTTTAAGAACAAGACTAGTTTTGTAATATTCTAATTTCTATTTGATCTATCACTGAATGTATAAATAAAATATAAATTATGGATTTCTTTCATCGTATAAAGAACCACCATTTTTATTTATTGAAGTTAAATGATTTTCAGTTCCTTCTTTTACAGGTTCAAGGATTATGTGCATCATTGCAAGACAGTAGTGTTTTAGTGCAGCGATGTGCCTTAGATTTGTTATTATTAGGATTTCAAATACACTACAATCAGCTTGTTGCTTCTGACATGATACAGGTTGTGACCTCTGCTTTAACTGTAGTTTTGAGGCGAGATATGTCTCTTAACAGGTAATTTAATTTTTTTTAAATCTTTGCTTTATTATACTCCCTTTCTAGTGGCTTATTATTATACTGTATAATAATAAGTAAAGCTTATTATTATACAGTCTTTTTTCTGTCCACAGATGAAAGGAGTTTGCTGTATGATTTGATTCATTTTGCACTTAAAACAGTTAGAGTTTCCTTATTTTTTCATAAAGAGCCTGTGTTATTTAAAATAGTTCTGCTTTTTTAAAATTTTATTTTAGCCATTATTTTGAGATAGAAATAAAATAAAATAATATAAATTAAATTAACTAGCTATGAAATTTTGTTGTGTAGCTTAGGTGTTGATAATAGAATTGTTATTATAATGTTAGAAAGGTATATTGGTAATTATTAATTCATATTCTATCTTATATTTTAAATTTGATAATGTCTTTTCATGTGAACTGCATAATGAAAGAAACTGTTGTATTATTTTTTCCCCATAGACGTTTGTTTTCTTGGTTAATGGGAGGAGAATCTCATGTCAGTGAGGATATGAGTAAATCAGGGCAAGAAAAGACGCTAGAAAAATTTGATGGAGATTCTTATTTCAAACATTTTTCTAAAGACTATCTCTTGAAAGCTCTTCAAGTTTGTTTTGATGTATGCATTCTTATACTTTAATATTTCTCAAATGTTCATTAAAATCTTTTGACTTTCATGTATGTAGAATATTTTGTGTTCATTGTACATTTACAGTACTTATCTTTCCAAATATGTCTTTTGAGTTTTGAATCAATGTATAATTAATTATGGTAATCATGCTCCTCTGTGGTGCTTGCTATACCAGGGTGCCTGAGCCTAGGCTCTACCCCTTGTAGAATAAATTTAAAAGTTCTAAAGGTGACAAAAAGAACCAGGTAATGATCTTGAATGAGGTAAAAATAACTAAATAATAACATGTGAAACACCTATCTTCGAAGATAAATATGAAATGGAAAAGCTGATGAAGACACTCATTTATGATAATCAACTAAAAATAACTGCAGGTCAGTGAAACCGATGAGCTGGTGAGCAATAAGAAAATACTGGTGGCAATTAAATAATTCATGAAGGTAAAGTAAACAATTTTCATCTTCTGCAATTCTCATTAAATACATTACAACTTTGAAACCTGCGGAGAGTTTATCGGGTACAGTCCTGGCTTGGCGGATTTTATCAATAAGCATAATAATGTTGTTCAGGAATTCTTGCACTTTATTATCAAATAACCAGTTAGTTACTGCGCGTGCTTCCTTCGGGATTTGAAGTCTTGGACCTTTGACCTTTTCACTGTACTTGGGTTTGGCAGTAGTGTTTACTTCCTCGCTAGCTTTGTTTTCATCAGAGTTTTTTCAGATTAGGGAATTCTTCCTTCATCCAGCTTTGTGTGGGGAGGGGTTGATTCTTAACTTTTCTTTCAAACTTCTCTTATGGTAATCATAACTGTTATTTAATTGAAAGTATGAGAGAATTTGCAATATCTGAAAAACTTATAAATTTGGTCACCATTACTCTTACTGAAACAAAACTTAGAGTTAAAATCCAGAATAATCTTTCTGAGCCTATTGTTGTTTCAAATGGGCCCAGACAGGGTGCCCTGTCTCAGATGATGCACTGGCCTGCTTGCTTTTTAACCTTGCCCTCCAAAAGATCATAAAAGACTCCAACATTAATACTCGGGGAACTATCCTTAAGAAATCTGTTCAGATTTTTTCGTTTGCTGACGATATTGACATAGTCGCACGAACTCCCGAGTCACTTAGAGAGGCTTTTACATCTCTAGAGGCTGCAGCCAGCAAAATGCATCTAGCAATCAACCAAAATAAAACTAAATACATGCCATGTGGTAATAACAGCAATCCCTATTTTGAAATTGGGAATTACAAATTTGAAACTGTTAGCAAATTTAAATATTTAAGATCAGAAGTTAATACTCTCAATGATTTAATGCCCGAGATCCGTAGTAGAGTCACAGATGCCAAGCAATGTTTTTTTGGTGTCAAAAAATACTTGAAGTCTAACTTCATTAACAGAAAAACAAAGATTTTTATTTATAAAAGCTTAATCAGACCCATTCGTACATACTCTGCTGAGACCTGGACAATGGCAGAAGAAGCTAAAAGTATTATTTCTGTCTTTGAAAAAAAAATTTTTGAGAATTGTTTTTGGTGGCATAAAATGTAACAATATCTGGAGAAGAAGAACTAACTCTGAACTCTATAAATCCTTTAACTCTTTTGCATTTAAGTCGCCCCAAATGCCCAAGCATTCAGACATCGGCTGGACGCCCGAAACGCCTGAATAATTTCCTACCCAGTGCTTTCCCCCATCACGTTACTGCATTACTCATTGCTTTCAGGTGTTGTTAAATCACATGTCAATCATTCTTTTGAAGCTACTAAAAGTAGCTTCCTTGTTTCCTTTGTTCCTTCCTTTCCTTTGTTTACTGTCAGTGTTTAGCTTTTGATGCCCGAAGTTGCAATCCCGTCCCAAGGGGGAAACTTCACACAGTGTCAAAGCGTCGAAGAAAGAAGTTCTCGCTTTACTTAAGTAAGGCTATTGTTAACGCTGTAGTATTCAACTTGTCATGGGGGAAAGAAAAGCATTCCAGGAGAAATTCTTAGATACGGCATTTTCGATGTTTGGGGAATTGAGATTTTGCCCTCTCTCGATGCGAAAGAGTTAAAGAAATAGATATAGTAAAATATATAAGGATTCAGAGAATTAAATGGGCAGGACACCTGTGCAGAATGGATGAAAATCGAGTAACTAAAAAAAGGCCAGACCATTCGGCACCCAAAAAAGAGGAAGTCCTAAACTTAGGTGGCTCGACTGTTTGGAAACAGACTTACGAATTTTAAAAATAACCAATTGGATGTCAATGGCTGGGGATAGAAGAGCTTGGAATTCGATTCTGAGGAAGGCAAGGGCCCATCCTGGGCTGTCTGGCCATTAAAGAAGAAGAATAATAAATATGTTCTGAAGCCAGGGTTTTCACAGTATATGCCAAAAATATATGTAGCAGATTTGTCGTAATATGGTGTTAATTTCAGAAAGATTATTTTGCATTCACAAAATGTATGTGCAATTAAAATATAGTAGAAACTGAAATGCCATGCATTTAAATACTAGAAACATTGGGATAGATAATCCCATTCAGGAGATAAAGCAATATTACCTTTTTTTCTGAATATTTTAATTTTCAGGCAATGTATGTATGGAGTAAGGCATCCATGGAAGCTTAAAGAGCTTATTCTGCAGTGCAAATAATCATTAGTTAAGTGATTTGAAAATTTGTAATGTTACAGGTGTTTCTGAGATGTATGGCAAGATTTTCGAGGTATTGACAAACGTATAGATATACATATTTGAAAATTTCAAGAATATAACTTGAATCAAAGGGTTTCAGTCTAACATTAAACTGTTGACAGATGTAGGACTATTAAAAGGATCTGGGCTATGGTGACAAGCGTTGTCTGCTAAGAATCATATGAAGTGACAAATAGGCAGCATTGTCTCAAATTACACTGTAATTAAATACGAGAGCTATTCTGACACTGGTATGAAAATTGCATTATATTCCTTGCATGATGCGGGCTTTAATAGATGATACTGAACTTGAATACAAGAGTATATATTGTGTTTCTGCTGCTGTACTATCGTAAGTGGATGTAATGTATTATACTGTTATCTCAGTGGTGTGTGTTTGATATAAGGTAATAATTTTATTGTCTTTTAGTAATGCAATTCCTAATAATAGGAATATATTTGAATATTTTATTAGTTGTATTACATAATATGAAAATTCAACATTCTAAAACAAAGGTATACAGTCAAAAGTCTTTAATCCGGACTCGTAGGGATTTCGGCGATTCCGGATTATCGATTTTTCCGGATTATAGATCATCAGTTTAAATCTGGTAAGATAGCATGCAGAAATTATAAAATTAAAAATATGAAACCGTAATTTATAAAATAATGAGCAATTATGATCTAAAGGGTATCAACATTTACAAAAGAAGCTTAATATTTATTTGTTTACTTTATTAAACATTTCTTTCAACGCGCACTTGCGTAAAGCATACATTACACATAGCCGAAATTAGAAAATTGCAACCAGAAAACTATTTGATTTTGTATTCGTGATATTTATAATGGCGAGGAATTTGATTTAAATCATATCAAAGACGGAGTACATCGAGATGAAATACTACATTTAGTAAGGAATTATAAGCCGAATGAAATAAAAACATCTGCCCTGAAGATAACGATAGTGCTGAAGATCAACTTCCAGTTTATTGCGCGCCGCGACGTCCCCCCCCCCGCGCAGAGAGCAGCGTGAAATTGATAAACAGATTTCAAAACGGTTAGATAAACAAAGGATATGCCTTTATCCATTTTTTGTAGCATTTCCACTTTTTGTTTGATGGACATTGAAACATTCTTTCGTTTTGTAGATCATTTGGAAGCTCCAGCATCGGAAATTTTATTTGACATAATAGAAAGTTCAAGCTTACTTTTATAAAATTGCTCTTACAGTCTGCAAAAAATAATAAGCCGGATCCAATTCGAAGAATAAGGAACAACGCAATCATCAACATTAACTGAAATAGATAATTAGATAATTTTAGCTTATACCGTCCGTTATACATTAAACGCGTGCGCGAGAAAACGTATTCTGCGCTTGCGCACACGCATATGCGCAGTCGTAAAGGTCTTGCACACACGTGTAAACGCCTATGCGTATGCGTCAACACGGCGCATGCGCAGAAAGATTTTAGCTTTGAGGTCCGGATTATAGATCAATCCGGATTATGGGTGTCCGAATTAACGACTTTTGACTGTATATGCAAGTGTTCCCACAAGGTGACATATATTTTTCCTTTAATTAATTAATTATTTTTTCTGAAATCTGTTTCACAATCTTTGTTGAAATATTTAATAATATCTTATGCTGTGAATGCAAGTCACTGCATCTGATTCTGCAACAATTCTATGTATATGTAGTATTATAGGTAACCTTCACGTATTTAATATTTGGATTACTGCTAGCTTGATCTCCCTTTTGACTTCATATATTTTGTAAAAATGTGTATGTAATGAAATAAACAGTGCAATACATTATTGTAATTTTTGTTTGTAAAGAAATGTTTTATGAGAATTAAATTTTACATCTTAACTTAATTTCTGAAATTTATAGAAAGTTTCGTCAGTAAAAGTTGATTATCATTATTTATGTCAAATTATAATTTTCATATTCGATAATTTAGAAACTTGAGCAATCTCAAAACTAGGAATAGTCAAAACTTATTTAATTCGTGTATGTATTGATGCCAAAAATTATGACTTAAACTGCGTTTAACCAAAGAGGATTGTGTAAAATTTAATTTTATTAATACAAAATTTTGAATTTTGGCATTTCTGTAAATGGTTCAAAATTAATGGTATCCTAATGTAAAAGGTATTTTTTAGAAATCCGCATTCAAAAGTTTAACTTGTCCCTATATCAGAATGTAGGAAGTCTCCCAAAATTTTAATTAATGATATGTCTGGTAATTTTGACTCTGTGCTATTTTTTTTCCCATTTTGACTTGGCTGTTTTGATAGATTTTGTAAAAAAC